TCAGAGTTTCTGGCAGGGAAATAAAATACAAGATGAAGTTTGTGTCTTTTATCCAAGAAAAGAGTTAAAAATACACTTTGACAAAACACACTTTGCTACTTTGATACTGCATTGCTATATATACATTATACCTAACATAAAGAAAAGCGAGGAATAAGTTCCACACCTCCTAGCAAAGGTATGTTTTCTCTTTCAAGCATTCATATCACCTGACAGATAACAACAGGATTCAGATTCAATGCAGTGGAAGCTAAGCAGGCAAAGAAACTTCAGATTCATTTTCCTTCATCATATCCTTCTAGAATATGAAGTAGTATACGTTATTGTATATGCAAGGTACATTTCTATCTGCATTGGGCTGAGGATTTTTCACCTTTGTGGCAGATGCATTGCCTTTTGAAAAAGAGAGTAAAGACAATGTCAGTTTTGCTGTGGCAGACTTCAATCCACTGAGTTGCCCATGTCCTTAACAGCTGGGCTGTAGTGCCTGAAGGCAGTGTTCAGACATGGTACCTTTGGCTCTCTGCCTCATTGTAAGAAAACATAAAAGAGGAGATAATCTTTTGACTGCTGTGCTTGGCCATGGCTTCCTCACTTCCTCAATTTTTTTTTTCTCTCTCTATATCTTTTTTTTTTTTTTTTTTTTTTTTTTTTTTGTGAGTAATTACAAAATAAGCTTGGTTTTGGTATGTTTTCAGCCTTATCCCTTGCTTTGTTAGAAGAAAACATATGGGTTTGCTGTTAAAATATGTAAATAATAAACTGTTTATGTGCTCATGTTTCTCAGAATGATATTTTAGTACCTCGGACTAATAGCTACAACAAGTGAAACTACAGATGTGGAACATTTTGGCCCAGCCGGAGATGATTTGATGCTTTGATATTTTCAGATGATAGATGCTCAGTATATGGTTAATGTCATCTATTATTATACTATCAGTACATCAGATGAAAGGTTCACATTATGGGCTAAGAAAAGCATGCTACAAGTGAAAATCTTTTCCCTAAAATTCATTTAATCTAAACAGAAGGTTTAAGCAGATGTAATAATGGAAGAGAGAGAACAGAGTGAGAATTTCACCAAAGGTCACTGTGTGTCAGTAGTACAGAAGTTTTGTATCTTGAATCCCACTGAAATATTCTGTACAGGCTTTGAAGAGTCAATCATTCGGAGATCAGTAGCACTTTAAAAATATAGGTACATGTTAAATTTGCAATTTAAGTGGAGAAACATATTGCCAGGGTTTTTGTTCACTGTATGGTAAACCTTTTTCTGGACAGCACTTTGCTGTTCTGCTTTGTTCTGATCACTATTATTTTACTGTGTCAGGTAGCAGGGATTTTTAGTAACTCCAGGCAGTACTTTGATCAAAGTAACTAACTAGCTGTGAGGAAGTCTCAGTACTGAGTCATTGTGCATGAACACTTCTTCTTTCTTCACATGATGACATTGAGGACAGTTATATTTCTTTCACCAGAAAGGGAGGAAACAGAAAAGTTCTGGAGCTTGAGTCTAATTTGAGGGATTTTATTTATAATTATTCTATAAATTATTTTGCAGCATCAAATAAAACATCTTCAAACAGATTTGATGGCCTGATCGAATTTTACCAAATCCTGCATGTAGCCAAAAGTACAGAACAAAAACATAGGTATGAAGACCTGGGACGGTGATTTTTTTTTTTTTTTTTTGAGATTTGGGAATGGGGTCACATTTGTTATCCAGTTCCAGACCAATCTTTGCAAGGCTTTCTGACTTGATTATTTTTTAGAGGAAAATTGATGATGTCATTAACTAATGAAATGTTTTTAAGGTGCATCTCAGACATATACGGGTATAAAGCCTAACATATCTACCTAATCCATTGAAAGTGGTGTTATATTTTTATTGTGTCAGCAGTATTTTCTAATCCACCCATATAATAGCAAACCCAGTAGTGCAGAAAACAAATTGAAAGTAATCAGATCTGTACTTTCTATTTACATATAATTAAAAACCAAATTCTCGGTTTTTCTTCCCTCACCTTTCTGCATTTTCTCCTCTTTCTGTCTCTTTTTTTCACTTTATCTTTTCTTAAAGATGACTTCTCCATTGCAGCAGTATGCTCTGAGAACAGTCATATGTGTCACTGAATGCAGGTAAATGTACCTTGTGATGGCTTAGGTCCCTTTCCTACTAATGCTGATAGGTGAGTGACTAAGGATGAGAAAAATTATATATTTACACTGCAGTGATAGGAATTATATGATTTACTGTCTAAGTACCATTTTGCACCATGGTGATTATCGTGATATTAAATAGTTGAGTGTCATCATAGACGGAACATAAGTCATTACCACAGTCTACTTATGATAACTCTTAAATATAATTGCTATATAATCTTTAGGTGATTGAATTAGCATGCAGACCTGTTTGCATGCTGCCAACACTGCTATGGAAAAAAAAAAAAAAGTTACTTAATCAAAGATTACTCCTGTTTATTTCTTTCATTGAATGCTTTTCAAAACATGGCGATTCAGGGACAAGTTCTGGAAAAATGTGCCATTTGTACTCAGCCTTGTTAAAGTGTGTAATTTCCTTTGATTAATCATGGGAAGAACACATGTGTGTAACTGCAACTATGGCATAGGTCCAAAAGTGATTCTTGCCTTTTCATGGGTGTGGAATCCATAAACCCACAGAAGTCAAGTTAATGTCCTGAGCAGCTCTTAATCAGGGGCCTGACTGTTACGGTAACTTTTGCAGATGTTACACCATAGTACAAGCTGGTCTTAGGGGAAAGATGATATACCCCTTATAACCATCTGAAAGTAAATTTAACACATTTCAATGGAAGACAATCTCTGACAATGTCCTTTTTATGATGTATGTTTGGTATGAAGGTTGCTTGAGCTGTAATGTCCATCAATTTTCTTTCACTTGTAGCATTTTGGCAAGGCAGTTGTGAGTAGATTCAAAAGAGTATGATCTCTATAGCAAATTTTCTTTACATAAAAGTGTGATTTTTGTGATAAAATAGTGATTTTTATGTAGCTATTTTTTCTATAAACAGACTTCATTCTTTTCTAAAAGTTCTTTTCCCAAAAACTTCATACAAATCTCATTAATTATTTTCTTGCATCTCTTGACAGCAAAACCAACAGGCTAATGTAATCTTTGTTACAAAATTTTTCTAACCATTTTCTTTGTTTCTTAAAAAAAAAAGTAATAATTCCAGAAGTAATGGATTTGCCTGAATTATGAGCAAATACAAGACAACCGCACCTCTGAAATCCTGTAATGCTACTTCTGAAAGCATCTGCATCTACACCTGAAAAAATGTCCTGATAACTTTTAAATGGATTTATTGCACCACAAATACAACATACCAATTTGATATTTAATTTTGAGCTGACTCAGATTCCTGGAATCTGTCATTCAGAATAACGAGATCAGGCTGAGAGTTTCAGTTGCACGTAGAGCTTAATACGTATTTATTATGGAAATGTGTATCGTAAGATATATTCTATGAAGAAGAGTGATATTTCTAATACACATGGCTGCGTTCTGACAAAATAAAAATATATATTTAATATTAAAAATTATGGGATATTGCAGTCAGTTTGTAATGCTTATGTTTTATGTTCTGAGTAGAATTTCACCATTTAGTTGGCATAAACAGTAAGAGGATCAAAGTTTATTATTTCATCAGAAGTCTCTGCAGATTTAGGAAGATTTAGCCATATAAATTCAAATTGAAATACGTACAGTTAGGCATTGTATACATAGTGTTTAAATGGAGTTTTAAAAGATTCTTCTGTGTTAATTAAACAACAAAAATGTGTTTGTGTCTCTGTTTTTGAAAGGAACTGAAAGATTTAAATTAATTCTCACCACAATAGCAAAAGCAAGTTAGGAATTTTAAAAAGTTGCAAGCAGTCACTGAAGAGTAGCCCACAGAAGTAGGCAAAAATCAGATGTGGTTGAATTTTTTATTAATTCCTTTTTAAGAATTTTACTTAATAACTATTGTTGTTAGTTACTAACAGTAAAGATTGTTACTTGTGAACAGTGAGGATAAAATGCTCATACAAATAGTACCTAAGACACTGGTGATTGATTACTAGTTAGCAGTTTACAAAGGGGATTTCTTAAACAAATCTGTATAAATTTTTAGAGATAAGTATTTCTGAAAATTTTTACCAAACTCAGCTTAAATTACAAGATTCAATACTCAGCAGCAGTACATCTCTTGAATCGAGACAAGTTCTGCAGCTATTTTTACTGTGGATTCAGCATCCAGAAAAATCTGGAAAATAGGTGTTCATTCTTTAGAGTAGAGATTAAGTCATGAAAATAAGACAAGATGAAATTTTGTAGTGTCATTATGTAATATTTATATCAGTATTGGTTTGATCTTAAATGATTGCATCCCTCAATTTTCTTCACATATTTTGAATAAAACCAAACCTAGCACAAAAGTTAGCTCAAAGGTCAGAGTTGTTTTTTTTTTTTCTTCTCAAAACTAACTTATCCACAATTTCCTGAATTAACCAAGGCTTAGGTCTATATTTTTATATACAGTCTAAAATTGCCAGGCATTTTCTTTGGGTTCATGTTTTACTGTTCATAGTCCTTACAGATACCCATACTGAATTACAAAGAGGTATCAAATTAATTATTAATGACCATTCAGAAATTTGTCTTTCATTTTCAATTATAATTAGGAAAACGTGCAGGGCAGAAACTATATTTGAGAGAAACCAAAAGTATTTGAGTACAGTTGTAGTATTTGTCCTCCCAAATCTGCTTTTTTTTACATTCTGTGGATTCAATTTGTGTTCTGCCTAGTTTCTATTTTTTATACTGTTATGGTGGAGAAAATGTATTTACAATGCATATCACACTTGCACACTTTTTATTCTCTTCAGGTACAATCTGCATATGACATGTCTATTTTTCCAGTGGACACAAGAATATATAATCACTCATCAGCAATGTTATTTGCTTTTTTCTTTAGGGGCTGATGTTATCAATTTTGATGGCCACGTAGTGTTACCGTACAGATTCAGGAACAAGAAAATGAAAACACTGAAAGATGTCATCTCTCTGAAATTTAAGACCTCTGAAAGCGAAGGTGTAATCTTCCACGGAGAAGGACAGCAAGGAGACTATATCACCTTGGAACTGAAGAAAGCCAAACTTGTTCTAAATTTAAATTTAGGTATGCTATGATCGTTTAGTTTTGTGGTAGTTTTTAACACTCCCACAAAAATTTTAGGTCAAATATTTCATCCTCTTTCCCACAGGAATATGGTAAGCCACATCATTCAATAAGATAATTTGGTGAAAATATTGTTAATTTCTTTTCTATATGTTGAGGGTTTTCTTCTCTCCTTTTTTACTCCATGTGAGATACTATGAAAATAAGATCATACAGAAAAGCAGGGTCAGCAATATATTGCCTTTACACAAACAAACAAACAAAAAAGCTTACTAGGATTATATTTGGCCTCAACCGTGGCTTTGTGTAAGAAGACACTGTCATCACTTCTAGAAGAATAAAAGTCACCTTTAAGAACCTCTCAGTAAAAAAAAGTATCAATCTGGGAAGCTACAGGCCACATGACGTTCAGCAACCTTTCTAGAGTCTGCAAAGTAGGACTAAGAAAGGAAAAGAGAAAGACTCCTTTGTCTTTTCATCTTATGATGAAATCTTGTATATGTTGCTCTAGTTCCAGCATCTTTTTTCCCTCCTACCTAAAGACTACAGGCTCATGAGTCACTGGATTTATAAAGTACATTTATTATGAAAAAAACACACATTTATCTGGTTTCAGGTATTTTTTTCCTTAAAACAAAAGAATCCTAGAAAAAGATTTCATGCAACCTTCCTTAGTTCTATTACAGACATGTGAAGAGGATATTGTTCCATTCATTATTTACATTGAATATTACTTATTTCCACTAACGTTTTCTCCTGACCTCTTTATAACGATCAACATGAACAGATGATGAGGAAGAAAGCACATATTCCTATAGTAGTTATGTGTTCTTAACAATTTTAATTGCAGTAGTAACCCATTCATTTCAAGTTCCTCTGTATTCTTTAGTTCAGTCTGTCTTTATAAGCTGTGATAACTTCCATATGTGTGCTTGGTGAGGATGTTCCTAAATCACCAGGCTGGTAAATGGGACTAGCCCCTGTGACACACACTCACTCCATAAACAGAAGAAATACTTTATAGTATTATTCTTCATCTGTCTGAGAGTATTGTCTTTGTGCTAGAGACAGTAGAAAAGGATGTTCATCTTACCTAGTGAGATCCAGTGATTTAGTTTCAAAAATCAGGGGACAGGGGAAAGATGGGCAGACAAGGTGGATTTAGGTTTCACTTTGCACTGGATTTGACTTTGCATTGAAGAAACTGAGGCTCAACGACAAGCATGCAATTTTATTTTACCTTTTAACCAACAGGATCAGTGGCCTTCAGCATAAAGGCAGTATGATCATTTGTAGGCAAGTAATGTCTTAAGCCACAGAAGTGTGATTTGCAGAATGTATTATCAACATGCACAAACCTTAATGTCTGAGTTGCAGGTATACTTGACAGTAAGAAATTCTCAGCCTCAAAAATGCTTTAGGTCCTCATGCATACAGAACATGGAAGATTGCACTGAGTTATTGGGCAGTGCAGCAATTTTTTACACTTACTGCTGAATTAGTCATTTGCTGCTTCAGTTGAGATCCATGTTATCAAGCTTTGCTGGCTTAGCTATGTCAGTCAGATGGCAACGAGATGTGATCTCTGACTAGCACAGCTGCACTGGCAACAGTCTGCATTGAGCCTTTTCCTATCTGCTTGCTGGTATACTGTACTGGCAGAGGCCACAAAGCACAGAACTCAGACTAAAGGCTCATTGTTGCCAAAGACTCTTATAAGACTCCATGTCCTCCTCAATAGTCACAAATCAGTACAGTTCCAATGCAGCTCAGGACATGGCCCAGCTTTTTGATTTCTGTAGTGTAGGATTGAAAACACAGAAACCCCATAGTTGAAAACAATTTTACAATTAAAAGTTGATATTGCTTCCCTGATTTGCCTCCAAATAACTACTATCATGAATTCATACATATATTTATTAATATATATATAATTCAGTGATCAGATACTTGCTTTATTTGGTCCAGCTATTTGTATTTAAGGCAGCATCTCTCCACTGGGCAGAACTCAACTTCATAGCAGACTGACTTCCTCCAGTTTATTGTATGTCTGGTATGATTCAGGTGAAATATTGACAAAGCAAGGGGAAATTGTTTGTCTGACTGGTATGAGGTGAGAATTGCTATTGTTTCTGTTCTCAGGCAGCAACCAACTTGGCTCCATTTATGGTCACACATCTGTGATGACAGGCAGCCTCTTGGATGATCACCACTGGCACTCCATCATCATAGAGCGCCACGGGAGAAACATCAATCTCACCCTGGACAGACACATGCAGCACTTCAGAACCAATGGAGAATTTGATTACCTGGACCTGGATTATGAGGTAGACAGTGAAAGTTCTTTATTTTCATTCAAATTGACTTTATAAACATAAGCCCAATAAGAAAAAAAGCTAATGTAATTTAAGATGCTTTGGTACTTTTTTTGTACCTCTGTTTTAAGTATTTCTTCTCTTATTTTCCTGAAATTTTCTTTCCAACGGTGTTCTCTTCTAAGTGTAAATTATATTTCTCTTCATTAGCCTACCAAATCCCATCTGGACTAACAGTCATCCTAGCCTTTTTTTTTTTTTTTTTAAAGTGTGAGATCTATACTATTCAGCAAGCTAAGCATATATGACTTTAAAATCTCTAAAAGCAGCTGCTCTAACAAGGAAGTAGATTTTTTTAAGTATTGTACAATCTGTTATTGCACTCAGATGATAATTCTTCACTTGAATCAGAAATCTTTATTCTGTGGTGACAATATTTATTTTTTAGCAAATGAAGCAGATTAGAAATTTTTACTAATATGGATCTTGATCTATCTTGTCTTAGGTAGATGCTTCCTTGTATTTTTACAAATACGGCATCAGTAACTTCTTTTTATAAAGAAGTAATAAAGAGTTAGGAAAGTTGTAAGAAAACTTATTTAATCATCCAGGTTAATGCACAAAACTGTGAGTAATAATTAAATGTGGATTTGTTGTTTGATTACACTCCAAACTTCTAGAATTATGAACTTGTTCAGTGCCTCAAAATTGTTACATGAAGTTCAGTATGTTGGTTATTGCAAAGTTTATATAATATTTACTTGCAGTCTTTGCTGTTTCTAATGAGAGTTAATGTGGTTGGCCAAATATGTAATTTCTACCCTTACAACTTTTTAAGCAGTGAGAAGGAATCAAAATGATGTAACGGAAAAAAGTTTGAGTTAACTTCTGTATTTAATTTTTTACAAACAATCTTTTGATTGAGAACATATGAATGTTTGAGAAAGTTACTTATGATTGTAAATGCTACTGATTCAAATATTTACTTATATTCCCACAAATCTTTATGAATAAATTCTTTTCTAGAAGCTATAATGAGAAAATAACGAGCAAATGTGCCTGTACCTCTATTACTTATTGAGAACTGGAAATCTGAATTGAGCTGCTGAATACTCACATAAATAGATTTTATTCAAGTGAGTGAGCTGCAGAAAAAGTTAGGCTGAATGCCATACGCCAGATTTGAGAAGTTTTTGAATATATATGTATTTGTATACACATGTATACACACATATATACATATATAAATGGAACATGTTTACGTAACAAATATATTCCATAGAATAACTTAATACCGTAGTAGCAGTAGAATTCAGTTAAGTTACCTTCCCATCCACTCTGACATTGAGAGACATCACTGACAGTTCTCAAAGGCACATTTCCTTCTCCATTTACATGGATCCCCCTGTGCTAAAGGAGTTTATTTGAGTGTGTGTGTATGTGTTTCTGTGGTTCATATAAAGTCAAGAGCTCTTCTCCTTTCTTTCCGCTCAATTATCTCACTGGTTTCAGAGTCAGTCATCAGAATAAGTTTATGTGTGTTGCCTTTGTGATTAACAGTGGATTAACCTGAAAGAATCAGAACAACTTCTCATAGACAAAATAGCTTCTAGGTTAATCTCTTTCAGAAAAGTTAACACAAAAGAGGAATAAACATTAGTTCTGATTGCATTTTCAAGGCAAAAAAAAAATAATCCTGTAAGTTGCCCTTAACTTACTGCCTTGATACGTGGGGTTTTTTGCTATTTTTCTTCTTTTCTACAAAATTCTTTTCTATTTTGTCTCATCCAAGTCTTTGAGTGGTTGTCTTCATCTTCTTTATGCAGCTGATTTGGCCTGCTAAGGCATGTGGTAACTCCTCATTGACTATAACTGCATCATAAAAGTTATAGTTCATAATATTCTCAGTAGTAGAAGATCCTTCTGTCTAACAAGGAATAGCATCTTTATATGATTCTGTAAATTCTTCTAGATAAAGCAGATACATAAGAAATAAGGGAAAATAATGCACCGTATTGGAGCCCACCACTGCTGTGCTGTATTCTGAGCTCTGTCATGTGGTTAGAGCTGAATGAATCATTTGAATCAGATTATCTGGCTAATTTCATGTCTGCTTTTGTTTAGAAAAAATACTGGGATGGACATTTATGCCAATTTCTTTGTTTGAAATGCATATTGTCCGGTAGCAATTAGAAGAACAGTTCATATATGAACCACTGTGATGTATGCCTATTCACAATTTCGACAATTGTAATAATACTTGGGATTTCCTACCATAAATATTTGCAATCACAAATTCATTACAGATTTTTTCTACTTTTTCAGTGCTTATCTAATATACCCTTTTTCTATTAACAGTGTAGCCAGCTCTCTCATTTTCCATGTCTGAGTATTCAAGGAAAAAAAATTTATCTGCAGTAAATAGATTTAAAAGTCTTTGCCTTCTAGCAACTATACACCATTTTCTGTTTCATTCATAGATAACCTTTGGAGGCATGCCTTTTTCTGGGAAACCAAGTTCTAACAGTAGGAAAAATTTCAAAGGCTGCATGGAGAGCATCAACTACAATGGCAATAATATCACTGACCTTGCCAAGAGGAAGAAATTGGAACCTTCAAATGTGGTAAGAGTAAAATTTAATGGTCATCTACACCTCCTCCTCTTCTCCTTCTAAAGAATACTAGAAGGTTTATAAGTGTGTGTAGCTGATATACTTGTGGTATACTGGAACAATATAGAACATAAAACAAAATTTACTACAAACCCAAAGATCTTATTTTATGTACATTTATGAATTACTATTGTTATTATTATCACCCTCATAATCATCATCACATCTGAGACCCCTTCTGGGGTCTCGCTTCATATTTCCAAAATTAACATCAGATAACTACTGTTATCTGATACTAAATTAGTATCAGATAACTACTTTTTAAAAGAATATCAACTGAACCAGTAAGTACTTATTTCTTTTCCTCTCAAATTATAGTAGTCCAAAACCAGTGCAGACAAGATTTATTATTAAATTCATTGCAGCTTTCTTGTGGCTTTTAATCCTGGTATATTCCATTCCTTCTGAGCTAGTTGGATTACTGGAGTGCAAAAATCTTTGGAAGGGAATGGTTTTACAGGCTTTTCTGGTGGGTCTGAAAAGCCTCAAGATATTAGACTTCAGAATGATTGTTTCACTTATTAACATTGCAGAGCTTATTATTAACATTTTTTTCTATATTTGATCTTACTTAAGTGTTCATAATTACTTTCATGTTCAGACTTGTGGCTTTATGGGCAGGGTGATTAAGAAAGAATATACTTTAATTATTGTCTATTTAATGTTTTAAAAAACTGTTCCTGAAACTGCTTACTGGTATATAAGGCAATATGGGTAAAAAGCAAAGGTATTATTGCCATGAGTTTGAGATGGTTTGAATAACTTTTCAAGGCTTTCTTTAGTACAAGTTTACAGCCTTCACTAATTCCTGCTAAAAATATGCAGGTTTCCACTCTTACTTTTCTCTTGATATGATAAAGAATAGAGTTATACATACACAGTGATGATGTCATGCAAAGGATTGGCTAATTGCTCCATGGATAGTAAAACTGAAGTTCCATCTAATTCTGTGAATGCTAGGGCTAAATGGTCCAGGAGAATCTTGAATATGTGTTGTTTGCCTATAGGAACTCAGTAATACAGCCTGATACCTAGAACAGTTTCTGTACAGGAATTTCTTCAGTGTTGTCAAGGGCAAGGAGCATGATATTTATGCCATGCAGTAAGACTCCACTTTTAGATTTTTTTTTTTTTTTTTGACCCGTTCTCATGAACTCCTGTATCTTTGATGACATTTTTGGTTTTTTTCCTCAAAATTGCCTGTGCTTTACTTCCTACAGGGCATTTTCTCCTGTAATATAACCATGATTTCAGAGACTGATACCTGATTTAGAAAAAGATCTTTTTGTACATCTTTGCATTTTGCACTGTTGAGCCCACTGCAAGGTAGCAGGACATAATCTTAAAGCCACTTTCTGAGCAGAAGTGTTACTTAAGAGGTTCCTGCATTGCAAATCCTATCCTTTAAAATCCTAGCCATAGCTTGCAGACCTGTCAAGTCTCTGAAAAATCATCATTCTTGTTTTTATTTGTTTCTTTGCTTTTAAAATTCCATTACCTGTAACATGAAAGTAAAATCCTCAAAAGAGGCTTTGAAAATATTAGTGCTACATCAAGAGGTTATGGAATGCTAGTTTAATTTGATGATTCTGTTGATTTCCAATTCTGAGAATGGCTATAAAAATAGAAGTGACCTTTGTTTTCAGTAGAATTACTTGAATTGCTTCAGCCCTTCAAAAGCAAAACCAATTTTACTCTAAATCAAGATGAATTAATATGTTTTTTACAAAACCTTTTTTTCCTCCTAGTTTTTAGACTCATTTAGCATGCAAAAATACACTTGTTTGAAACTACTATTGTTGCTGAGCATTATTATGATGGTGGTACTTAAGCAATCCAACAGGGATCAAAGCTCCATTGTAGGAGATGTACAAGTCCATAACAGTAGTCACACCTTGCCCCAAAGAGGGGCAAGACAGAGAAAAGTATAATAAGGGTGAACACAAAGTAAGCTGTGTAGTGGTGAAAATATCGTAACAGAGGGAAAAAATTCAAAGGAAAGAAGGATTTTAAAGAGGTGTGAGACAGAAGAAAATAATATTCTTAGATGTAGATATTTGAATTTCAGAAGTCACACAGTGAAAGGGACTTGAAAAGTTAATTTTACAGAATGAGGAGGTCCAGAGAATCAGAGATTATAAAATGATGATCATTTGTCTATGAAAAAATAAAATTAAATAATTATGTCTCATGCGTGTTATGAGCAAAAAACCACCTCCATACATCTTTTAAATTTATTGAAGAGTAAGAGTGAAAAGACAAATTAAAAGTATTTTAAATTTAAACTATTGTGAAACTCTGACTTCAGTAATATATTTGCTTTAGATTTAGAGGGTAAGAATAAGGGGAAAAAATTGTTGTGACTCTTTTGTGATATTTAAAATGGCAACAGCTCTTAAGGAAGAACAAGACAGAGGGATGGTCTTGAGCAGTTATTATTTTTATGGGTGGAGCCTGATTTGTTCTCTCATAAAGGAGTCAAAAGAGAGTCACGGAGAAAAGGTCAGCTGAGACAGAGAAAGTTAGGTGTCTGCTTTTCTCCTGAATCAAATTGTGAACAAGAGTCAGCAGTGGTCGACTACACAGTAGATTCTAACTTCTGTATACAGCTTGACTCAGGACTAAAACAGAAACAGGGAACATGCTGTTGAACAATTTTGAATCCATCTTTTCCATGCTTTCTAGTAAAATATAACAAGTTTTCTAGGGCTTTCATTACCTTGCATAAATGAATAACATTGACCCTTGTACCAATACTGAGAAAAGACTAGGATATGCAGTTAACAAGAAGTAGTACAGAGAAATAGGAGTTTAGAAATTTAGTCGTTTTATCAGATTTTCCTACCTAGAGGTACATTAAGGGTAAGCAATGTGAATGCTAACTGTATTTAGTTTCCACAGAACAGTCTCTTCAGTTTTAAAGCCTGTAGCTGAAAAATACTGAGGAGAATCATATTTGCTATTCTCCATCCTTACATTTATTAGGTCTATGCTCCACCCAATTCTGTATCTCCTATGCCATGTATTGCTGAGTGGAATCATATACAAATTTAAGCTGAGTGTTTTATTTAAATTATTTATATTAACCAAACATCACGTTAATCTCAAAAATACATAATAAGCTATTTTGATAAAATACAGAAATAACACAAAAAACATTAGCATGCAATACATTGTCTGTACTGTATGAACCATCCTGATTTAGCAGGCAATGTAGTCTAAATAAACTCATTGCCTCTCTTTTAGAAACTACCTATTCAGCCAGTAGGTTTACTAATTGGGAAAGGTTTTAAGACCCAATAGTATTTACACAAGGGTTAATATTTGAATTTGGATAGGCAAAATCGATTTATAAGAAGTAAACACAAACCTGATTTGCCATACAGATTAAAGATCATGATACAAAGCTCAAGCTACATAAAAACAGGTATTTTTATCTTTTTCCTATCAATGTAGTTTGAAAACTTCTCCAATAAGACCAACAGTTTCAATATTAATGCATAGTATGTATTTGACTTCCAGATGTCATTGCCCAGAGAAGTATTCAGCAAGTCACTCTGAATCTACAGGAAAGGATCTCATTCTCTTTGAAAAATGGGGAGACTATTAGAGACACAAGCTGCAGATTAATTTGAACTCTTGACCTAGAACTAGTGAGCAATCTATTTTAGATGGACTGTACTTAAAATGGGAGTCATCTTGTGAACTACAATCACAGAAGGAATCAATAATCCAGTTCATATTAATCTGAATAACTCAGTAGGGAAAATGCTAACTAGCAAAGAAATTAGAATTATGTGTTACTTCCTCTAGAAACTTTTTATGCAGCTAGGCTGTCTGTAGGAAATGTATTCATTGTGATGTGAAAGAGGATTTAAATGCATTCAGTACCTTTACCATTAATAGGTGTTATACATGCAAGTATCCAAAATATCAGGATGACAGGAGAGTATCAATTGGATAAAAGCCTTCTTGTAACAAGGAAATTGTTAGCTCCTCTCAGTAACAAGGCAGCAAAAGAAACTCAAAATGTCTAACAGAATGCTCTCTGAGCACTTCTTAATTGGTATTTCTGACTGAACCATGAGATGTCATCTCTTAAAAAATGCTGTTGCCTTCTCAGTCTACACAGCACTGCCTTAACTATGTAACAGAAGATTTTTATAATCCAGAGGGTGGCATTACACTGAGATTGATAAACAAGGGTTACAGACAGTCTCCACCTTTTTTTTTAGTGTATGTCAAATTTGTGGTTTAACCAAATGTATTCTGAGGTACACTTTGAACTGTTTTGATTAGAACTATTCACCACAAGCAAATTAACTATTTTGAGTTAATGCTTTGTTGGCTGAAAATGTTAAATTAAAATCTCCAGGCAACCTTTAAATAGCACCCCCTCAAAAAAAAACGAAACCAAACAAAAACCAAGTAAGCAAACAAACAAAAAGCACACAAAAACCCCAGTCAAATGAGAAAACAACTAAACAAAAACCAAAACAAAAACCAAACAACTCCTCCCCCGCCCAAACAAAAACAAAAACACCACCAAAACATAGAGCAAACCAAACCCACAAAAAATACAGAATAACCAAGCAGCTTAGCACAGAAGTTTTTTGCTCTTACTCATAAAGTAGCTGTAATTTCTCTCATCACACAGTTATTTAAAAGCTTTCTTTAGTTTATTTTCCTAATTCCTTGGATTTTTTTTTTTTATCCATGGAACTTGGGTGCATTGAAAGAACATGATTTTTAATGCTGAGGTTTTGTCATAAAGTTTAGGAACAAATCTAGGAGATCAGTTTAAGAAAATCTCTTCTTTAGTTCCAGATTACTGAAAACGTCAGTGTTCCTGAATTGATCATGGAAGCTGCCAACCTGATAGTGTAATTACTACTAATTCTACTGGCCTTTATGGGTAGACTGCATATAACTTCTGAGATTCTATAGGAAATAGAGTCTGTTATGCAGAATAATCAAAGAATCTATCTGAGTGCTCTAGAAAAAAATATTATTTTTATTAATTTGGTTTTTACGTGGAAATTCTATATAAGAAGCTGAACCAGCCATATGGGTTATATCTTGTTATGACACAGATCAATTGTTTTCTGATGTGGTGTTCTTTTAAAACGTGATGGGTTTGGACATCAGGAAATGAGTGCTTAAGCTTGTGTATTGACATCATCCAGCGCACCTCCAATTGAAGATAATTACTTCTTAAAAAAATTTACTTAGGTCTTTTCTCCCACACATTTTCAAACACAAAGTTCTTACCTTGCTTCCAAGTTCTCTACCTTCCCTCAGATGTGTTTATACACTATAAATACAAAAATGTGACATAAAAGTTTATATCAGGAAGTCAGTAATATAGCATTTAAAAATAGTTACGCAATAAAGATGTTGAGTGACTCCTGTTGGGATTCTGAACCATGCTTAAGTGGGCCTCATCTCTAAACATCTATGTACCTCCAAAAGTATTGCTCAAGTCTTAATATTTATCTCAATGTACAAATAAATATCAAAGAAATTGCGATCTTGTTCATAGTAACAATTTCCATACTGCATCAGATATAATTCTTCCTTCCCAAATAGAACTAAAATTGCTGCACACTTTTCATCTGTAACAGGGCATCAGAAAACCTAACCACAGGACAGGAACCACTTTGCCACATAGTCTTGGAATTCTTCAGCAGAGGGAGTTTCCTGTTATATTTCATTGATGCATTTAAAAGTTAATTCTGGACATAGATTTCCACAAACTATTTACGATTTCTGAGGAAAAGGAATGGTAATGCATCCTACCATTGTGGTCTTTTGTGAGAAATGACATGAGAACCAGAGTGAAAAATTCACATCCCTAATTCTAGTCTTGTTTACAGACACATTTTAAAGCCTCATAAATCAATAAGGTTGACTTGATTTTGTCAGTTTTCCAAAGAGTAAAATTTTACAGTGTGAAAACTGTACTGTAGTTTCTTTACAGGGAAAATTATTTACTGACTAAAAAAAATTTGGCATTGCTCATGATCATTGGCATTGCTCATTGCTCAAGCCTTCTGCTTCTTGAAATGAAGTATTAGTTTAAGCAGTATTATCCAATAGAAAACACAACAGAGAGGCTGGCTCTTCATGAGGTATTATACACCCTCCTTTCCCAACCTCATGTATTGTATTGATTGACACATGATGTAAGGGTATTTGGAAAGCTAGACTCATTTTTATAATTACTACTCTGTCATTGGTTTCTATGGTGACCATGGACAACCCAAGTTTATCTGTAATCCATTTCTTTGTCTTTGAACTGGAAATATTAATGTTTTCATTCAAATCTTAGATTACAACTCTTCAGGGCAAAGTCTACCTTTTATTTTGCATAGGTACAGTACAAAATAAAATTGGACCACTACTAGAAAAAACAGAAAAATCAGCAACAACATTATAATAGTAACAATAACAATAATATTAATAGCACATCTTTATATGCAAAATGCATTGATCAGAGTAGTCTCTAGGCTGAATGAAATCTAGAATACTTTTCTAAGATACTATGAATTTAGTGGAATCTTACAATTTTGCTTATATTTTTTGCTTCTTTCTTTGTGTTTTACTTAGGGAAATTTAAGTTTTTCTTGTGTGGAGCCACATACAGTGCCCGTCTTTTTCAATGCCACCAGTTACCTCGAAGTTCCTGGCCGTCCCAGCCAGGATCTGTTTTCAGTCAATTTCCTTTTCCGAACCTGGAATCCAAATGGACTTCTTGTCTTCAGCAACTTTGCAGATGACCTGGGAAATGTTGAAATTGACATAAACGAAGGCAAAGTCAGTGTCCACATCAATGTCACCCAAGTGAAGAAGAACCGGATAGACATCTCGTCAGGTAAGTGTGAGGGGTTTTTAAATTTTGTCTAATTTTTTGGAATTGTTTAAAAGCATCATGTGCCTCAAAATCAGAACAATCATTTTACAAAATTTAAAATTTATGTTGTAACTACATTAAATCCTTTATTGTATGTTTCATTGGGTAAGAGGTATAAGAATATGAAACAGTTGTTAGATGAAAAAGAAGGTATAAATATTCTTATTCCATCGAGAAACCAAGAAAATATATCACCCGTTATGTATGAGGCATCATTGTTTCTTTTTGTTTTCTTCCACTGTCTTGGAGTTTTCTCTGCAAAAATAATTGGTTTCAAAAGGGGACTGTAATCACTTTTTGAGAGTAGTCTAACAATTAGGCTGGTTCTATCGCTTCCCAATAATTAGGAAACTCTCATTAAAAGAAAAAATATCGATTTTTACTATAAATATTTGTGTGGACTTTTTAGATTTGCATAGCTATCCTGGGAAAATGTTGTTTTAGTTTAATACTTTGTTGTTAATGGTGTTGCAACAGGTGTTTCAGTGCATGTGAAATGAATTGTGTGTCTGGACATAGGAAAGCAAAATATGGCATCCGCCAGGGAAGGCTGGAGAAGGAACTCCGCTGTTGTACAGCAAATATCACAGCAACCTTCTTGTTCTCTTCTTGTACCTTCTTGTTCTCTTCTTGTACAGGGAATTAACAGATATATCATATAAAACTGCTGAGCTTACTAGAAGTCAAAATGGTCTAACTTTGGCACAAAGACCTCTGACCACTCTGATCCCATAAATGCAAGATGCACCCTTTTTTCATTGATTATTTTTAAAAGCTGACAAGGCAGAATTTTACATTGTCAAATATGCAGCCTTCTATGTTACTGCATGCATAGGGTATGAATAATTCTATAGGGTATGAATAGACGTCTGTCTACTGGAAGGAATAAAACCTGGATATCACAAAGAACTAGACTAACTAACTAACAGCATCCTATATGCAGATGTGTTTTCTGTTTCATAGTTTTACTGTGCTTACTTCTACCCCTTGCAGTATCATATTTTCCCAGCAGGAATTTAAAGTCTCTCTTAGTCCTTATTCTGTGCACGTCTCATAATTTACTAAGTAGGTAACTAGCTTTTAGTGTCAGCTTTCCACATTAACTTGAGGACATCAGTGCTTCATTCTGGACACAGTGTAGTGCTGGCTATAGAAAGAGTAGTTGAACTGACTGGCAGGAATTACATGAGAAAACTGTAAGCTAATGTGCAGGTGGCAGAGTTTGTTTCTGCACATCTCTGCAGTAAAGATATTGATATGGAACAGAGTTCTGGTTTGTTTGTTTTTATTTTTCATAGTTTTCCTTAAATACCTTAAAGTGGCATGCACTGACTCAGGGAGCTCTAATTTAACATGAGCAGAGTAGGATAGTCTAACCTTCCCATTTGTCAAATATAGTTAAATTCCACCTTTCCCACTGGTGGCTGGGTACGGCAAACCTCCTTACTAAATTACTTTATGTAATTCTTGATAACTTCTTGATAACTAGGAGGGATCAGACAGTAGATGAAAAGGATTTTTCTTGTTGACTTGATAGAACTTTCATACCTAATTCGTTTGAATATTTTGTTTAAGGAGAGAAAGGCAGCTGCAATTTTATATATTTTGATGACACTTTCCAGAAGTAAAAATTAAATAATGCATAGAAAACACAATTAAAGGAACTGCACTTCTAGCCTCCACAGAAGCACATGGACCTGTGTTTACTACTTAGCAATAGAATCAGCAAGGTGAATAGTTTATAGGACATTGTAAAAAGTTTTGTAGACAGCTTTAAGGTTTAGAGGCAAGAACATCCAATAATCAGCAAGCAGAATCTGTTGACTGATAAGAAGGATGTGAGCTACTACTAATCTGAGAAAACAGAAATAGGTTTGTAGTTCATTTTTTATGCCAATTAGTTCTACTTGTTCTGTTTTATACAGGGAATGGAGGGATACAATAGTCTAAGGTGATCGAATAACATGAATGAAAAAGTTTTTCTTCTGTGTAAATAGTGATTAAGAGAAGTTACATAGAATGCTGTGGGAAAGCATTTGGATCAATTTAAGTGATTCACTGGAATCATGAAGCAGACATTGCTTTGCATTTAAAATCACAGAAATTGAGAGCTACTATCAGATAGTCTGTTCTTAGCAGTTTTCTTTGTCTCCCATAGATCCTTCCCTGCTGTCTGTTCTGTATTTGTCAGGAATCATTTTTTCACAGTGCTAGCAGATCACAGCAAGAGCTCTATGTCCTATTGAATGTTCTCCTTTGGTCTTCCAATAGACACTTAATTGTTCCTTCATTTATTTAACTACATGTCCTGCCTGCTGAAGATTTCACTGTATTCAATTCTTCATTAAATTCTCTGTTTCCTGGTCAATCTTCTTCATCTTATTGAAAGGACAAGTCATCTAAGTACTTTATTCTTGGACTGGACTGTGTAATATAAAAAAATTATATTGTTAAAATGAGTAAAATGGTTTTGTGTATCTGAAGCTTCTTCACTGATTGTTTGGAGTTCAAAATAATCTTTAGCCCAAGTATGAGATATTCCTACTGTCTGTCATGCCTTAGTTCCCTCTCTTATTCTATTTTTATTACTTTCAAAAAGCCACAGGTAGTTGATGTTAGAATTAGCAATTTCTAGATAACTTTCTATAGATCGTTTCTTTTTTTTTTCCAACATGCATTTTATTTTCTTCTTTAATGATACTAGATATTGTTTAACTTGCTGCTCTTTTTATGCCTTCAGTTACTTTCAAGCCACAATCTCCGTTCTATACATTTGATTAAACACTTAAATCTATCAGTATTATGAAAATTTAGTGTTCATTTTATATGTGCTGAAACAAATCCGGGATGATTACATTTATTATAGTCTAGTCTATCTGATTTCTGTGTTACAAGTGAAAAGCAACAGACTTGTGCTGAGCTGGCAAACCAGAATCTCAGATTTTACTCAACCTGTCTGTAACTTGTTTAACAGATACCAAACGACTAGTCCATACCCTGTCCTGGGTTTCAGACTGGTGAACGATAGAGACAACAAAGAGATGATAGAAAACAGTAACAATTTTTTTATGTCAGTAAGATGTACACTCTGATGCCTATAACAAAATGCTGAGTGTAACAGAATATTTTATGTTAACATGCAGTTGAGCTTTCAGTTTGTAGTACATATGAATGGGACAAAGGTGATTCATACTTGTAGTTAGACTTACTGTTTGATTTTGCTTACTGAACAAATAATTTCCTTTTTTTTTCATGATCTGCCAATTAGACCTTCAAACCAGGTCTCTAAACAGTAAAAAATTCCTTCCCTACCCTACCCTGCCCAGCATTCTGTTAAGCATTCAGTAAGCCCTGTTTACCTGTGAACAGACTGGCAAAACTGTTGTACAAAGTCAATGGCTTTGATTTTACTTTTTCCTACATTACTCTCATTAAGACACTGCTACCATTTGATTGATGAAAGTTATATTAATAAACTTGCTGTTAGTAAGGGGAAAATCATGCCCACTGAGAGCTGAAATAAAGTTTTAATTAGAAGAAATAAGCTACTGACTGTGCAGAATTACACAGGTGAAATACTTAAAGCTTGTGTATAAATCAAGAGCTAAACATGTTATTGAATTTTCTCTGCAGAGTAAACTGTGATTAATATCTTCACAATTGTGTGTGTCCCAGAATAGAGATTAATAATAGGAGAGAATCTCAGAAAACAGTCAAGAGATTTATCTTTACTGTTCCATATAGTTTTTGACTAAATTCTGCTTTTGTCATCATGAGATTCACACAAACTTCCTAGAAGTTGTTGCGTTTACCCAACAGATTGATGGAAGCAATGCCAGGCTGAGAAGATGGAAGAAAGAAGTGTTCTTACTTTAAGAACTTTTTAGAAGAAGATTTCCAATATAGTTTCGCATACTAAAGGATTGTGATATTCTACTGCAGTTTAAAAGTAATTTAATTTTAATATAAACTACCAGTTTACCCGAAGAACCTACTCAATATTTGTTATCTTGCAAGAATAAGATGTTGATATTTTATTTACTTATAAGCATTAACAAGTTAATGTCTTCTTTCTTGAGAACAGAAAAACCAGCAACTGTAAAATGTCATACTTCTAAATCTCTCTTAGCTATAAAAATTTTCAGGAAACTTTTCCCAAAGCCACATGCAAATGTGACAGGGTTAAGCCACAGCCTGTGTCCCAGTTGCCTCCTTTTCTTCCTCTTAGTTTTATCAACCTACTTCAGTAACTTAACCTGAATATCTTCCTAATGGAACCAAACTTTCCTGAATCTTCCAACATGGGAAAAAATTGGTAACTCATTAACAAACACAGAGAGTATTACTTTACTCAAAGAAACAATAGTAACATTCAAAAAAGTACTCACGAGGAATCATCTAATGGCTTTACAATGTTTTTTTAAAACAATCCCCAAATTCCTGTTTGAATATAGAATAGAACTTCTCTGCTTCTGGAGAAAAGGTGAAGTTTACATGGTGGCAGATTTGAAAATAATTTTGATTTATGCTCTGCTTACTTTCTCATTTGTCTTTTCATAGCCATCTTTGACCTTTCATATCTAAACATTATCTGCTCAACTTAAATACTAGAGGGTCTATGAAGTTCCCTTGGATTTTACCCCACAGGATAAATGATAAGTCATTGCAAAAGGACATAATCTCCATTGGTCCATAATACCTTAACAGAAAAATTTTAAATGTCCAAAAACTCCTGCCTTTTACTCGAATTCTTCTGCTTGAAGCTCTTTTTTTCTCCTGTTCCAATGCTATTAGTTAACATCTTGTATTAGCTGCTGCTCAAGACTGCCTTTAGTTCCTCCTGTCAAGCATAAACTTATTAAAATTTTGGATATGAACATCTTTTTGTCATATTTATCTGTATTAAATAAATCAGACTTCTCCCTGTGGAATCTCTGGGAAGTTTTCCATCCTTCTGTCTT